CTATAGATTAATGCTTGGTAAATAATTTTAATTTGTTTATTTATGTATTGGCCTCCCTTACTTATATATTTACTGCCTTACATTAAACCACCTACGATTTTTAATTTTTATATTCTATTCTATGTCAATATTTGACTATCTTTCTATGCAATTTAAAATGGCAACTTAACATTTCAAAATCTAAGTTATTTACTTATATTCTCACTTTACTAATTCTTCTTCTGCTAATACCATTACGTCTTTTTTAATTCTGTCGAAATCTTTACTTGATTCATTTTTTTTTCATATTTTTTTGATATTTACGAAGTTTATATACTAATTTATACATTTACAAATATATTATCATATAAAACTCGTTATTACAATTTATTTTGGAATGTGCCAGGGGTCGAACAAACTTTCTCGGACGTGTGAGTCGGACCTGCTACTGTCTGAGCTATGTCCGCCACTTGCTAATGATTAAATGTAAGCATAAATAAGTATGTTACTATAATAAAATGTATTTTACTTCTGTTATATTCGAGCCATAAAGAATGGCAAGAAACACTTGCGAACAAAGATACAATTCTTGAAACAAGACCGTATCACTATATTTAGCCCGGATATTCAGACGTCGCGCGTATACCTTTAACAATGCTTATGTTACTTTCATTTTATTATATCTGCGAGCCATATCTGCTCTGTAATACAATTCCGCCTAGCCTTATTTTCTGTCTTATTTTTCACGGTGGCTGTAATAATGGACCGCTGGTTTCGTAATCTCCGTTTTAACAAAAAAATACAGCAAAACGAGCGCACACACACAGTATGAAATGGCAAAAAAACGAAAATGGCAAGAGCAAAAAGAAAATTTATCTCCGAAGAAATGCAAATTACTTGGGAAAAAAACAAATGCCGTTCCCGGATTCCAATAAAAAACTAGATATCTAGTTTCCAAGACAATTTAAACTTTTAGTGCACGTAATACTTTAAGTACTTAGCGGGTTAATTTTGCTTTATTATAATTCGAGTGTATACTATATGACGAGGAGTTATTTTCTTTAAAGTTTTTGTTCGCCGCTTTTCTTATAACTAGTTTTACATAATTATAATTAGGAATACGTTAAATTGGGATAATAGAATGTAATTTATGTGACAAATTATGTAACTAACCGTGCATAGATTTTTGATCAATGTGCTCATTTTAACACTAGTATTTCAAATACTAGTAAAAAACTAAGCTTAGTATGAATTGTGATTTAAAAACTACTAAGTAGACTAATATTTATATCTGCAATATGCAATTTATTGCTCAGCTATGTATATCGTACCTGTCGTTGTTTATAGTAAAGGACTTTGGTATAGCAAATATTTTAATAATTTTTTTAAATGTTTTTTCACTAGATTGTACAATGTTTTCTCATAAGTATGGATATATTAATTTCAATTTTATACCTTGTCTTTTTTTAATAAAATATCATTTACAATAATTATTTTTACTAGTATTTTAAATACTGGGAAAAAACTTAGCTTAATATAAATTGTGATATTTAAAAATTACTAAGTAGACTAATATTTATATCTGCGTTATGCATTTTATTGTTCAGTTATATGTATATCGTACTTGATATCGTTGTTTATAGTGAAGGAATTTTTTTAGCAAATATTTTATTAATTTTTTAACTTTTCACTAGATTGTATATTGTTTTATCATGAAGATGGATCTATTAATTTAAATTTTATACTTCATCTTATTTTTTTTAATAAAATATTATTATTTATGAATTACCTTTTTAGGAAGTAAAAGCAGCCCAGCCTCTACATATATAAAAATCATAAAATAAACTTGCGTTACATTCTTATACTCGTGAAGTAGAGAATATTTTTATAAGATCGAATTAAATTTAAAATTGATAAACTAGATTCAAAATAATTTATTATGAGCGAAGAATCAAGTAATATTTTACATTCATTTAAAATTCATTCATTTAACAGTTCTAATATTAGTATAAATTAGAAATAGTATTTTTACAGAGATAGAGTTTATAAACTTCTTGGCTCAGTTTTTATTAAAATAAATGAAGCATACAAAAGATATTATTACTCTTTTCATTTTTAAAATTTATTTTGTTTACTAATTTATTAATTAACAAACTTGTAATAAGTTTTATGATTGAGAATCTCAATATAAAGCATTATATAAAGCATTATAAATATAAAGCATTTAATAAAAACCTATCTCAATTTGAGATAGGCTTTTATCAAATACTTTATATTAATTTTTCTGTGTAACATTTTAATATGGTTTTTGTGATTTTTTTCGATAATATATTCAACTTATTCAATTTGTATTATTAACAATGTTACACATGACTATTCAATGATAAGTTGTATTATCATCTTAAGATAGTTATATAGAATCCTAACTACTCACATTTACTTTAAGTAATATATTATTGAATATATAAATCTTTCAAAACAAAGAAACAAGTCTCATGTAAGGAAGTTATCAGGTTTTGCCTCATTTTTATGTACTTTCACAACTCGTTATCTGAATGATTTAAGCCATTTACAGAACCATAGTTACAAAATATTGTCATATTGTCATGGTATAATATATTTCATATATTTGTTATATATGGGAATTTCGTACCCAAAGATTCCACAGAATAACATTGCATTACTTTATCGTACTAAATTATTAACCATCTATTAATTGAATTTCCATTCGCACTATATAAATCAATCGACTCCCACTAATAATTCGTACAAACATAATTTGACTAATAATAATTAATTCATTTGTAAAGTGTTTTTCGTTTGGCATTAATTAAATTTTCTATCGCTAATAATTAACTATGATATTTTGATAAAATATAGTTTCGAAAAATATATTTTGCGGCTCCGTATTGCAAATTTGCGGTCTACAACCGGCGGTCGGTTATGAATCATGAATTTCATATCCTGGGCATAACATACGTTTAAATCTGTAGCGGTATGTTGCCGCAATTAAAGCGGATGGTTGATTAATATTTTGGACGCATGTAAGGATCGATTGCTTTTCGAAAATTAATAATAAATTTCTAATAGAGTTAATATCACACATGACAAAAAAAAACATTATTTTTCAAGTCTGTTGTTGAAAATTAATTCATGTTTTCAATTCAGTGTTTGATAAATTGTAATGTGCATAGTTTCAATGTTAATCAGTTATTGTACTTATCTTTAGGAAAAATAATTTATAATTAACTAATGCAAAGACTCATTCAAAAAAATAGAAAATGCTTTTTGCAATAGTCGCTTTTAATATATACTTGTATATTCAAGAAATAATTGTTTCTAAATTTTTATGTAATTTTGGTTATATTCAAAATTTTGTTGATACAGAAAACTAAAAGAATGATTTTGTTAATATAAATTTAACATAATGGTGTGAGTCAATTTGCAATTTAATATAAATAACTGAGTTGAGTCCTATCGTTTTATTTCTGAAATTTGTCAAAACACCAATTATTTTTATTTGTTTTTAATAACAATTCATCTATATATCAATATCTCTGAAAACTAACATTTATTGATCGTTAATTCGAACTACATTTTATTAAAGATTCTTATAATAGTCGTTTTTAGTATAGACTTTTATATGCATAAGGTAATTGTTTTTTCATTTCCATATAATTCCAGTTATATTCAAAATTTCGTTGATATAGGAAACTAAAAGGATGAAACTGTAGAAACATTGAAGTCGATTTTTTTTTCAAACTGATATTTTTGCAAAGATACCTTTTATGTATCAAAATTTGTAGGCTTTTGAAAAAAAAATAAAAAGGCATGTAATTATAAGCTTTATAAAATAATACTGGGAATATAGATACAACCTAATATTAGCTAGGTTGGCAGATATTTGATAACTGGTTATCTTAAATTAAAACTAGTTCATGATGGCTTATATAACTCCTATAGGTTTATCATAAAAACCGTCAGGAGCCAATATAATAATTAAAAAAAAAATTTTATAGGAATTATTTTATAATTTTTATAAAATAATTTTAGAATGAATTAAAATGAATATTTATTGTTTATATCAAATTCTAAAAAAAATTATGGTTACTTGCTTTAGAAATAGTATTACTGTTTATACCTTAATTACTATTTAGACTTACTATAATTATTTAGGCATACCTTTACACCTACTTGCAGGTATACATTTATTCAACATTTTACACACATTAATGAATATTTTTGTTTTTTTCAAACAAAGCTCAGATGATTACAGAATTTTGGTGATGTAATCTATAACACACACACACACAAACAAATATATATATATATATATATATATATATATATATATATATATATATATATATATATATATATATATTTATTTCAATTATTTTTTTATTTTTTATTTGAAATTTTTTATTTTAAATATTTCGCTTTATAATTTAATAACTCATATTCAACATGTATTTTTGTATTGTTGCATATTTTTATATATAATTTTATAAAAACTCATTTTTATAGTAATTCAAAACGTGTTGGATAATTAACAGCGGCTTCTGTTTGTTTTGCTTATATTTTTTTAACTAATTATTTTTTTAACTAATTTGTGTAATTTATATTACAAAGTCATCTTGTATACTGGTTTTAAATATTTCAATTTATTGTAGTGATTCTCAGAGTCCTAAATTTTTCAGCTTAAATCATGCGAAAAACATTGTTAATCGAACAGAATATTAATGAGTTTTGTTTGGATAGTTCTAATTTTAATTTACTTTTTTTCCATATATAAAATAGTTTTATAGAAAACACATTTTTTTAATTAAATTCCATAAATCGTGTTTAGTTGCTAATGCAACAATATATTTTCATTTGATTGCGTGCAACTGAACGTACACTGCAGTAGTACCTACTCTAATGATATTTGATTAAAGCTATCCTGTTAGTAATTAGTCTTCTAATAATAAATTGTACAGTAATTAATCACAGAAATGAAAGATTGTTTTTTTCATTTTCAGGCATATTAATGGATCGCACGCCATGTGACAAGTACGGCCTTTAGTAAATACGACTTTTTGAAAGTTTGTAATTAAGAAAATACGAAACTAAAGTTTCCTCCAGTGTAATGTTATTTGACTAAACAAATAAAATATGTCACGCGAATAACAAATTTTACTTAGGAATTATCATTTTTCCATGGAATATCATAGTTGATAATAACATAGTTTGTGGTGTAATTAGTAAAATAATGTAAATTAATAAATTCGTCGTAGTGGATAAAAAGTGTCATTCGTGATCGGTAATTACAATTTTTGATAGTTTGAGTGATGATCCAATCGTAAATAGTGGTTTTAGTGCGCGAGTGAACTGGACAATGATTCATTCAAAGATGTTGCTGGGATTGGCGATTTGTTTGCTGCTGACAAAAGGTAGGATTTTTGACTACATTTGTTATATTATTTCATCTTCAATGAAAACATGTCTGTATTTTGTATTAAATTTGAAAATCTTCATGCAAATTTATGATGGCACAATGTGTTAAGCACACCGACACATATACAATTATTACAAAATAAGCTTTAACTATATGCGTTATTGTTTTTTTAAAACTTTATTACCCTTTTCTTACATTTTCAAGATGCTTAACACTTTTTTCTTACATATATATTACATTTTCTTACGTATTACAAAAATTTTTACTTTTTCCTAACATATTACATGATTATTACTTTTTCCTTTTATTACTTGAATTTTAACTTCTCCCGAAGGTTCTCCTGGTGTATTGACTTATTCTCCAACTCAGTCTGGGTGCACAGAGTTAGAGTCCTTGTTTTTCCTTTTTTGAGAACAGGATTTCAATTTGAGTACCTTTTACTTGTAAGAGGCATGTTGCTACTACAACTATTGCCCCCTCTGCATATACGTATGCTACAGCAATGCCTACGAAATGCCATTTTCACTTGAGATCATATTTGAAATCTATGATTTTAAGTGAAAATTTGGTACCAAGCTGCTTTGATACCGAACTGACCGCAGTTGGATTCGAACCCGGGACTAGGATTTGCTAGCCCACGTTCTCACCACGGGACCACAGCCGGCCCTTATTTAATATTACTTAGTTTACAAAATAACATAAAGAAATTATTATAGATTTGCATAATGGATTCAATTTACATTTCAATGTCAACTAGTGGTCAATGGCATCATGCCGCACGGCAAATTGCTGGAACTTTTCGTACCGAAAACTAAATTATTAAAAAAAACTGTGCAAAACTTTGAAAAAATTATATTTTTGATGTATTTTGGAATTTTTGAAAAAAAAATGACTTTGAACATTTTTTTATATTTTGATTTTTTTGTATTTTGATTTTTTTTTTCAAATTCTTGAACATTTTTGTATGTTAAAAAGATTAGAAACCTCTGAAACATAAAAATCTCTAAAAATTTGCATTTTCGATTCTTTACGATTACTATAACTTACCCTACAGGAAAACATGATGATTGAGATTTGATAATGATTGAGTTGAGTCTTATAGTTATACTTCTGAAATCAAAACAAAATGTAATTTTTATTTTTAATAACAATTAATCTATTTATCAATATCACTACCATTTTATTGGTGCTACTATTCCAGATGATATAATTATTTCTCAAAAATGATCGTTAATAAATAATATCATGAATATTATTAGTATAGACAATATCATGAATTATCACTATTACAATTGTTATATTATTTTTATTTGTTTAAATGATAATAATTTGATCTAATATTTAATTTGATTTTATTTTTTTAAAGGCATAGCCCACAGAATAGTTCCAAGATTTAAAAATACAATCATTATACATGTAATATATATAAAATACAATATAGTATAATATGGTATAATATACAATGATACTATCTTCTGTTAATTACTAGTATGACATCTAAAAACAAATAGAAAAATAACTGCATTTTACAATAGAATAGTAAAATGCATTCTATGTAGTCAAATATTTTAATTTAATTTTACATCTGATAGAAATTGATAATTAAATTTTATTTCAATTGCAGTACTTGCTTTATTTTTATTTTCAAATACTTGACATACTTTGTATCGAATATTTGGTACTTCGCATTCTAATTAAATCTGATTTAAAATAATTATTATACGCATATAAAATTTTTCATAATTAATAAAATCAATTACTGATGTTAAGTTTGCCATATTTTGAATATATATATATATATATATATATATATATTTGTGTGTGTGTGTAAAAATATTAGACTTCTAAAGTTAATATTACTTCCTTATTTCGGAAAGCAGTCATTTCATTCGATGTGAAAACTTCTATATTAAAAGCTCGTTAAATATGCATATGATCAATATGCATACGAAGGGATGATAAAAGAAATTATACTTAACATAAAAGAAAGATAATGGAATCTGAATTGTTATTTTATTGATTTGTATGATTCGACACTTTTCCATGGTACTTTTCCTAGATGAGACCTGAAATAGTTGATAACACTTTTTGTAACTTAATTATATTTACAGAAGTTCTAAGAAATATAAGTAATCATTATTCACTATAAATGGAAATATGATATGAGATCGAGTAAATAACTAGAATTAATAAAGATTAACTAATGGAATTCAGTTCAACCTAGAAGAATTACTTGGTGATCATTGATGAATATGATTTCAATACTACTACTTTTTAACTTTGTTTTACTACTTTTTTACTAATTAATAAACTGCAAATGCTTATGATTGTTTAATTTTAGAATTAAAAATCTAATGACCTAAATATTGATAAACATGATGCAGAGTTTGATTTGAAATTTTTCAAAGCTTTAAACAAAAGCTCAAACATTTATCCTCATAATGAAACAATCAAATCATTGAACAATTCACATTCCGTATCGCCGATTTGCTACTGATTACTTTATGTAGTTTCTGGGGACTTTTAAATGAGTTTGCAGAACTGTGCAATAATTGCTATGCATGCACACACGTTACAATAATTATGTGAGTGGAGTTTATAGAATGATTCTACATTGCAATTTTAAATCGACTGTTATTTCTGGAAAAAAATCTGATAAATTCATTATGGAATATACAATTACTATTACTTTTAATATAAGTTGTCTTTAGAAAGTTATTAGCATCATGAATTTAATATATACATGGTGTCCCAGACCTTGAGGTCAAATTGAAACGGGGTGAAGTATTGATCTTAACTGTCAAAATCGAAAAAAAAATCATCTCGTTCTGTATGGAAGTTATGAGCTTTCAAGTGTAACCCAGAGCTTTGGTGCAATTATGACCATTTTTCTGTTATTGTGGTCAATTTTTAATTATTTTGTTCGTTTAGACTTTTTAACCGTAACCGTGAACAACCGTATTTCTAGGACCAGAATCAAAAACAAGAACACAATTGCCCTAAGTTTTCAAGAATTAAAGTTTTTTGTTGAACACTCCTGTCAACTTTTGATGTAACTTGCCAATACACCTTAATATTTTTTTACAAGAGGGCCTTTCAAAGTTGAGCGATTTTAAAATTTTTAAATTCTTGTTCTGATTATGTTTTGTTGCATGTGATGACATTTAAAAAAGTTTCTACCATTGTGGGAGATAGTTAGATCCTTTATCTACTGGATAGGATCCTTGACAGATATATCAAGTTTTGTGAGAATTTCTCAATGTCATGCTGTACGTGTCTTCATAATAAAGCAATCAATACATCGAACATGCCGCATTTTTATCTTCGTTATTCTTCTGACTATTTTTTGGTGCATGTGGTGACTTTCTGATGACTTTTCACCACTGTGGAAGTAATTCAATCGATCTTTTATCAACTGATTATTGACATTTATCAAGGTTTTTGAGAAATTTCTCGGTCATAAAGTATTTGTTGCCATTTTGAAGAAGCAGCACATCGTCTTTTTTGTTCTGATCATTTTTTGTTGCATGCGATGTGACTTTCAGATGAGTTTCTACCACTGTGGAAGATAGTTGCTACATCAACTAGCAAACATCCTTGTCAGATATCTCAAGACTTGAGAGAATTTCTCGGTCATGCTGTATTTGTCTCCATAATGAAGCAATCAACACATCGAACATCTCGCATTCTCTATGGTTGTTTCCATTCTGATTATTTTTGTTGCACGTGGCACTGTCAAAGATAGAATGATCGATATATGTTATATCAACTGTCAATGATCCTTGTCAGATACATAAAGCTTTTGAGGAATTTCTCAATGTCATGAAGTATTTGTTCCCACACTAAAAATGTCGCATTTTTCATCGACCTTCTTGATCTGATTATATTTTGTTGCAAGTGGTGTTCAAAAGAGTTTCAACAACCGTAAAACACAGTTTAATCTGTTTTCTATGAACTGACAGATATATCAAGTTTTGTGAAAAATTTCTCTATCATGCTGTATTTATCTCCATAATGAAGCAATCAATACATCAAACATCTCACATTCTCCATCGGCGTTCCTGTTGTGACCATTATTTGATGCATGTGATGACTTTCAACCACTGTGGAACATTTTATCAACTGTCAAGAATCTTTGACAGTTATCAAGTTTTGTAAGAAAATTTTCAATGTCATGAAGTATATATTTGCCCCACATTAAAGCAAAGAACACATAAAACATGTCGTATTCACCCTCGTAATTGTTGCATATGGTGACTTTTTAATAAGTTTTCACTACTGAGGAAGATAGTTTGTTCTATCTTCCATCAACTATCAAGAATCCACGACAGATATCTAGTTTTGTGAAAAACATCTCTATGACACAACACAATTTGTCCTCATATTAAAATAATCAGCAGATGGACTATGTGGCCTTCTTTATGGTATTTATTGTTGTGATTATTTTTTGATGCATGTGATGACCTTCAAATGAGTTTCTGCCACTTTAGAAGATAGTTGGATCCTTACATTTACTGACAACGATTCTTGACAAATATATGAAGTTTTATGAGTATTTCTCATCGTTATGTTGTATTTGTCTCCACAATGGAACACCTCGCTTTCTTTATCGTCGTTTCCATTCTGATTATTTTTGTTGCACGTGGCACTGTGGATGATATATCGACCGTTCTATTTTCTATTAACTGTTAATGATCCTTGTCAGATAAATCAAGTTTCGTAAGAAATTTTTCAATCATGAAGCAATTGTCCCAATAATGATGTAATCAACACATCGAACATGTCGCATTCTCCATCGCCTTTTCCCGTTCTGATTATTTTTTGTTGCATGTGGTGACTTTTAAATGAGTTTCCAGCAGTGTGCAACAAGCATCGTGCATGCATACACATAAAGGTATCCAATTTATTCCATGTCACATTTTCTACGTGCATGTATCGCTTTCAGACCGGCTGCAGCGCATACTGGTAGAGCCAGTAATGGCTTCGTAGCTGCAA